AAGATCCTATTTTATCTTTTTTGAGTCTTTGTAATGATTTTTTTATATCTTAATATATGAAAATAAATTTTAATAGTTATATTTATAAGGAAACTTTTTGTAGTCACAAATGATAAAAAAATTATTGGTAACTTTTTACTTTATCTGTAATTTTTTTCATTAAAAAATATATGTAAGAGAGCCCTACTTTCAAAGTTCGCCTATAGCCCCATAAATATCAGGGCCGGCCCTGGTGAGATGTGGTTTCTTTCCTGACAAAGTTGTCTGTTCTTTGATCATTGGGCACTTCTACAAGCAGGGCCAGCACTGGGCTAAGGCCACTAAAGCCTGTGCTTAGGGTCTCAAATTTTGGTCCAAAATAAGGCTTCTAATTTATTAGTTTTATTTTAGATTAAAAGTTCAAAGCTCAATATTTTTTTATTGTTTGAGACCTAATCTAAAAGGTCCCTCAAAAAAATCTGTTGGGCCAAATTAAATATATATATATATATATAATCATTGTTAGGCCCAATTAAAAATTTATATAATTAGTCCAAACAAATATATATGATATATTGAGTCCAAACATAGTCTAATGTCAAGAATTTAAAAGAATAAATAACTTTATCTTAATTTTTTTGCTATCTCTCGTTATCATATTTTAATTGAATAATTTTACCCTAATTTCTTTTTGTAAATTTTTTTGCCCTAATTTTTCCCCCTCTCTGTTTATCACTACAGGAAATTACACTTTCGGCGACTAAATTTAGCGACTAAAAAAAATTTAGTCGCCAAAAGTGGTGGAATTGGCGACCAAACATCATATTAGTTGGCAAAAGTACAAGATTTAGCTACTATTTTCTTTTAGTCGGCTATATGGATTATTGCCGACTAAAAAAAATGTAGTCGCTAAAAATGTCACAATTGGCGATGAAAATAATTTTTAGTCGCTAAATATTCCATAATTGGCGACAAAACAAAAATTTTAGTCGTTGTATAGTTACTTTTGCCTACTAAAATTATTTAGTCGCCAAATGAAAAATAAAAAATTAATTTTTATCTTTGGCCACAACAGTTTGGTCGCAAAAAATGTATTTTCAGCGACTAAAAATTATTTTAGTCACCGTATAGTTAGTTTTGACTACTAAAATAATTTAGTCGCCAAATGAAAAACAAAAATTAAATTTCTTATCTTTGGCGACAAACAGTTTGGTCACAAAAAATGTATTTTCAGCGGCTAAAAATTATTTTAGTCGCTGCATAGTTAGTTTTGGCTACTAAAATTATTTAGTCGCCGAATGAAAAACAAAAATTAAATTTCTTGTCTTTGGCGACCAACAGTTTGGTAGTAAAAAATGTGTTTTCAGTGACTAAAAATTATTTTAGTCGCTGTATAATTAGTTTTGGCTACTAAAATTATTTAGTCGCCGAATGGAAAACAAAAAATTTATTTTCATCTTTGGCAACCAAAGGTTTGGTAGCCAATAATTTATTTTCAGCGACCAACTAATATTTTAGTCGCCGTATAGTTAGTTTTGGCTACTAAAATTATTTAGTCGCCGAATGAAAAATAGAAAATTTATTTTCATCTTTGGCGACCAAAGGTTTGGTAGCCAATAATATTATTTTTAGCGACCAACTAATATTTTAGTCGCCGTATAGTTAGTTTTGGCTACTAAAATTATTTAGTCGCCGAATGAAAAACAAAAAATTTGTTTTCATCTTTGGCGACCAAAGGTTTGGTAGCCAATAATTTATTTTCAGTGACCAACTAATGCTTTAGTCGCCGTATAGTTAGTTTTGGCTACTAAAATTATTTAGTCGCCGAATGAAAAACAAAAAATTTATTTTTATCTTTGGCGACCAAAGGTTTGGTAGCCAATAATTTATTTTCAGCGACCAACTAATATTTTAGTCGCCGTATAGTTAGTTTTAGCTACTAAAATTATTTAGCCAATAATTTATTTTCAGCGACCAACTAATATTTTAGTCGTTGTATAGTTAGTTTTGGCTACTAAAATTATTTAGTCGCCGAATGGAAAACAAAAAATTTATTTTCATCTTTGGCGACCAAAGGTTTGGTAGCCAATAATTTTATTTGCAGTGACCAACTAATATTTTAGTCGCCGTATACTTAGTTTTGGCTACTAAAATTATTTAGTCGCCGAATGGAAAACAAAAAATTTATTTTCATCTTTGGCAACCAAAGGTTTGGTAGCCAATAATTTATTTTCAGTGACCAACTAATACTTTAGTCGCTGTATAGTTAGTTTTGGCTACTAAAATTATTTAGTCGCCGAATGGAAAACAAAATATTTATTTTCATCTTTGGCGACCAAAGGTTTGGTAGCCAATAATTTTATTTTCAACGACCAACTAATATTTTAGTCGTCGTATAGTTAGTTTTGGCTACTAAAATTATTTAGTCCCCGAATCGAAAACAAAAAATTTATTTTCATCTTTGGCGACCAAAGGTTTGGTAGCCAATAATTTATTTTCAGCGACCAACTAATAGTTTAGTCGCCGTATAGTTAGTTTTGGCTACTAAAATTATTTAGTCGGCGAATGAAAAACAAAAAATTTATTTTCATCTTTGGCGACCAAAGGTTTGTTAGCCAATAATTTATTTTTAGCGACCAATTAATATTTTAGTCACCGTATAGTTAGTTTTGGCTACTAAAATTATTTAGTCGCCGAATGAAAAACAAAAAAAATATTTTCATCTTTGGCAACCAAAGGTTTGGTAGCCAATAATTTTATTTTCAACGACCAACTAATATTTTAGTCGCCATGATTAGGCAGGGCAAGGTCTAAATTGTTGGGGGTAATATCCTACCACTCCAAAAATTTATATGTATATATATAGATATATTTTTTTTCTCCTTTGTGATTCACTTTCTCTGTTGTTGGTTTCGTTTTTGTTTTGGTTTCAGTTTTAGTGAGATTTATGTGTTTGTTTACAGGTTTACATGGTAGAGAAGAATTATTGGTGATAATTTTTGCAATTGAAGCATCTATGCCCATTCTGTGCCAAGGATGTTTATCGAATTTTGTTTTTGTCAATGAAAACTATGAAATTGAAGTTAAAAAATGAGTATCGAATTTTTTATTTTTTATGTCATTTCATTTTATAGAAAATGTAAAAATTTATGGCAAATTCAAGATTGTACTATAACATTAGATTTTTGTATAACTAGGTAAATTAATGGTTGCGTTTGATAGAGTTTTGTAAATATGATTTGAGAATATGAGTTGTATTTTGAATTTGTGAGATTTGGAATTATGGTTTGAGTGTAGAAAATTTGTTTGCTTATGAGTTTTAAAAAGAGTTTTGAAAAGAATTTTAAATTGAGTGGGAAATTTTTGATGTAACATGTGATATTTGATACAAAAACTAACAACTCATAGCCAAACACACAACTTAAAATTCTATACAAAACTCATAAACAAAATTTTAAAAAATCGGAAAATATTTTTTATTTAATATATAAAACATAACATGTGTCAATTCCCAAAAAAAAAAAAAAAAAAAAAAAAAATGGAAACACGTTCAATATATATATAATTTTATTTATTTATTCCCAAAAAAAAAAAAAAAAAAAAAATCATTGGCAGGGACATCCTGTGGGACATCCGGGGGGTTGACCGGGGGGACATCCGGGTGACAGAGTTTTCAAAGCAAAGCGTGGAATTGATTTTTAAAAACCGTAAACAAACATGCAACTCAAAAACACACCTGGAATCACATTTCCAGAACACAACCAAACAGAAACTTTTACATATCATTGTGTTTTTTATTTTTTTCCTCTTTCTATCCTATTATATCATTACTGTTATTTGTTAGTTTGTTAATCATAATACAATTAATTGAAAATGAAAGCTTAGTATAACTTTTCATATATATTAATTAATATGTTACCGCTATATTTGTATATAATAGAATAATATATAGGGATAGTTTCCAAACATAATTTATATTTTTTTATGTAATTAAAATAGTTTATAAAGGAGTTAGATGGCTTCTTTTATCCCAAAAAACCTAATTTTTTTTTTATTTTTTAAATTGAAACATCAATTGTTTAAGTCCATAAAACAAAATTGATAAACACATATTCAAAAGCTACACTTAATTTTTTAAACTAATAATTTAAAATGTTATAAACATAAAAATTAATTTATAAATTTCATGTATAGAACAAGACAAAATATTAAATTAGTTTAACATATTTATAATGATTTCATGGAATTAATTTATAAAGTCCCGTGCATAGCACAGGTTACCATTAGAATTATTAATATGTAATTACTAAAAGTAATGTGTATCTACTAAAAGTAATTTAGTTGGCATTTCTCTTACTTTTAGTGACTAAAATTTAGACGGCAATTGTAATTTCATTTTTGGAGGTAAGATTTCAAAAATTGGAGGGATTCCTAAATGAATCAATGACTAAGGTCAAGTTTGAAATACTTAAAAAAGTTCAAAAGTTATTCAAAAAGTTAAAAAGTTAATACTATTCACCAAAAGTCAACAATTACGGTTGTACAACTTTCAATCTTAATTTTCCTATACAAACCAATTTTTATAATTTTTTATTACATATTTTTTCATAAAAAGTCAAAAAATTAACTCAAATATTTATATTTTTTTCTCAACTTTTTAATTCAAAAAAATAAAAAATACACTTATTTAAGACACTCCAAACAACCTTTGAGGTGGTCGGGAATGGAAGCATAATCCATTCATTGAATAAACCCACGATTCTGTTACAATTTTTTATTACACATTTTTCAATAAAAAGTCAAAAAATTAACCCAAACATCTATATTTTCAACCTCAATTTTTTAGTCCAAAAAGATAAAAAGTACACTTTTTTAGTCTTTCCAAACTTGGCCTTAATTTCTCTTACTTTTTAGCCACTGGCGTTTAGACGGCAATTGTAATTTAATTTTTGGAGGTAAGATTTCAAAAATTGGAGGGATTCCTAAATGAATTAGTGACTAAATTTTGAGGAGGTCGGGAATGGAAGCATAATCCATTCATTGAATAAACCCACGATTATGTTTTATCTAATCTCTCACGCCTCTTACTCACCCAAAAAAATCTCTCACGCCTCACTCTTCTGTGTCTCTTCTCTGTCACGCCTCACGCCTCACCCCTCACCCCTCTGCCCTCCTCTCTGTTACTAGAGCACCACCGCGGTTAGACGAGCACACCGCAAGGGTTACAGAAGCACCACCGTCGCTTTGTCGGGTAGGTATGTCCTCTATTTCGCCCTCTGTTTGTGTGTGTGTGTGTCTCTGTCTCCCTATCTATGTCTTCTTCCATTCGCATATACCTTCACACCCAACCCCAAATTGACCTACCCACAAATCGACCCAGCCCCAAATCGATTTGATGCCATAGGAAAATTATCCCTTCTCATATTTTATGGGTCCCTTCCCTTCCCTTCTGATTAATTTTTATTTTATTTTATATTAGGTTATTATGAGTCTCTAATTGATTTCTTTATGGCTCTCGAACTGTATTCTCCCGTTTTAGCATCCGTTTGGTTACTGAGAAAAGCTGAGAAAATGTGGAAATAAAATAGATAGAAGAAAATTTCGAGGATTACATTTCTTTTCGTATTTTTTCCGGAAAATGAATAACTCATCTCAATTAATCCACATTATTGAATCTGGCTCTCTCGATTGATCTGTTTTGTTCTTCTATTAATCAAAATTTCTGGATAAAGTTAAACATTTGGATGAAATTTGACATATTGAACTCTGTTATTAATATGAAACCTGTCAATTTGTGGATTTTTGATGAAATGTAAAATTAGCAGTCGATTAGATTATGTTATTCATCTGATGTTATACATATATGTGTATATTTGTAAATATAATTATACAAGATATGTTTCTATATATATTCATATTCTATAAGTTGGATTTGTTACCGCTTTTGTTGGCCGATTGGGCTCTCTGATGATAAAATATGTTGATTAAGCACTTTTCAATGGTGTTAATAATTCTATTGATTGCCAAATCTGACTGTTGAGGCTCGAGGGTGACTGATGTAATTATAGAGCAATGTATAAAATTATGTCATTAACAAGCACATGTTAGGCATATAAATAATTATATTATTGGTTGCAAAATTTTATCTTCGAGGAGGGTGGCTAATAGTTAAATATTGATTCAGTGTTAAGCGATGTAAAGTTTGAGTAGAATAATAGAGTGGGATTGTTTTTAGATGCTGAGGAATAATAGAGTTTGATTTCAACATTGAAATTTGAAAATTGAATGAAGGACAAGTATTCTAAAGCGTATATGCACCTGATAGGGCAAGCACAATAACCAAGTTGAATGAGATAATCACTACAGTTAATATGTACCTGCAAAAAGAAACAAACATTATGGCTATTACACTATCTTCAAGCTCTTGTCGATGGCATGCCTATTCTTCTCGGCGTGTCTTTGTATAACTGCAGCTTCAGAGTCAAGCTTCTGGGATGTGGAGGTAAGGAAGCCCGAAGCCTGACTACTACTTCCATTAGATACTTCCAAGTTGGTGCTGATGTCTTTCATTGCTCCAGTTGTGTTATATATGGTTTGTGATGCATCATTTGCTGTGTTAATGACAATGTCTACCACTTTTTTTGCTCTTGAATGAAATTTTGCATTCCCTCCCAGAACTAATCCAGTCGCGACTCTGCCATGATAAAATCGATAGTACATTCAGAATGTCATCATGATTGGATTTGATCACTTTCACAAGTTTAAAGGAATTGTAGTTTATAAGGTCTTTTTGCATTGTATGATGTTTTGTTGCAAATACAGCAGTGCTGCAAGCCGTTGTCAATTGAGTTTCTTAAATTCATAATATCTGCAAGCCGTTGCAATGAATTTTAGCTAAGGGAGATAAAGTGATATTGAATGATAGTTCAGAGGTAAAGTGTAATTTGTTATAAAGGGTATATTCATTATAGTGGTCTAAGCGTTGCAATTTTTAGTTCAGAAAGATAAAGTGACACGAAACTATGATTGAGGGGTTAAAGTATAATTAGCCCTATTATATATGGACTAAAGAGCTGATAGACTTACATTGCTAGAACTGTGAAGAATGTTGCCAAAAGAATGGGCCAAAGATAACACTGCTTGTGACAATGTGATCCCTCCTTCTTCTTCTTTAGCTTTCTATTGCTATTTTTACAACAAAAAGAGGTTGCCAGCAAAAATCCCCCATATACCAAACCACATAAAAGCCACAACACCCCAATGGCATATCCATATATTCCTGTAAATATAGCTGACTGCACAAAATAGTACAAGGAAAAGTTATTGGTTGGGGAAGCAAAAGTTGTGCTTTTGTTTTTCGGAAACGAACATAGTGAAAAGAACAAAAAAACACATCGTTTTATTTTTGTGCAAAAAACAGTTTCAAAAGATTGAAACAATTTTTTGATGCTTCCTAAAAAGTAGGTAGCTTTTAGAAACAGTTTGCCAAAGAATTTTTTTATTTTTTCTGAAAAAAATGAAAACAAAAACACAACCAAACAGATGTTTTGGAGGAGACAGAGAGAGAATTGAACACTTACACTCCAATAATGCTTATTGGTTTTGTCATATCCTCCTTTATATTTCTTGAAATGATTTAGAGGATCCACTCTTACAGTATCATCTGATTGTCTCATAGGTTCTGATATGTTTACTGCTTGAAGCAAACTCCTTCCTTCAAAAACCACAAAATCATTGAACCGTAATTTGTTTTAGTGGCAATGGTACATTTTTGTGGCTCAACTCTGATTTTTCTTTAAAATCAAAGCTAGCCTTCAAAATAAAAACCTCAGCCTGAGCCCAACAATTATAGAAGATCATTAAATTACTATAGTATTAGTATGAATGTTCTGTCATTAACATTAAAATTAAGTCATTAAGAAGCACATGCTAGGCATATAAATAATTATATTATTGCTTGCAAAATTTTATCTTCGAGGAGGGTGGCTAATAGTTAAATATTGATTCAGTGTTAAGGGATGCAAAGTTTGAGTAGAATAATTAAGAAGTGAAAGTACTTAAATCTAAACTTCTGTAGTATTTATTGATTCTTACTGAAGCAAAAATTACTATGACCTCATATAAGAAATAGGTAAAAAATGACAGTATCGTATGTGTCAAGATAGATATTAAAGGTTAAAACGTTTCACTGATACTCCTTTTGGAGTCCATATTTTTTATATAATGTGTTCAGATTTGCTTGCATTTACAGTTTCCGTATGTTCAGCAATGAAGATGTTACGATTGGTGCATGGATGCTTGCAATGAATGTCAACCATGAGGACAACCGACAACTTTGTGAACCAGAAGGTACTCCATCATCTATTGCTGTTTGGGATATTCCAAAGTGTTCAGGTTGGTAATTAACTAATTATTCTCATGGTTTGGATGCATGTTCTCTTAGAAACAACCTCCATATGCTGAAATCTAATAAAATCCCACCTTGGAGAAAGAGGAAAAATAAAGGAAATAATTTATCAAGAATTTTAACAAGGCCCCTCAAAACCCACTGATTGACTCAAAGAAGTTAGAAAGGATAAAAAGTTGATGTGGCATGGGAGATAGACATTCTGTATTAATGAAACTGTTTTGTTATGTTGCGGCATTGCCCTTAATATGTAATTTAGATTTTATTTTTTATTTTTTTGCATTTAATTTGGTTTTGTGGTTGTTTTCCTTTGAATGGATGTCATTGAAACAAAAGCTATTTGTGCAAAGAATTGATTTTTAAAGAATGTTCTTCTTATGCATAGAAGTTATATACATGTATACTCTGTTGAGTTACCAATTTTCCCAAAAGCCATTATGAATGAACAAAATTTAGAACTGGTCCTTTGAACATTATGAATGAACAAAATTTAAAGACATTCTTATCACATCAAGTTTATAACCTTAATGTGATATTAATATTATACTTGTCTCCTTATGTGTCCTGTTTGGTTTCAAGTAGACCACCACCAAATTTGATCCACTTAGGGATGATTTAAAATTTGATCTCATGTAGTATTGCTTTATTTTGATTTGTTATTTATCTGGCTCAGTAAGCTTGTCAATATTATTAAGGTCTGACTAAATCTACATGCATTCTCGATTATGTTATCATTTTTAATTGGCTAGGTTGAGGATATTTCTGAATTTGGTTCATTATCAGGTATGTAGATGTAAATTGTAAAGTGGTCTGTCAAATAAGGAACTGCTGTTTGAGCTGTGCAATCGTATCATAGTTTGATTTATTTACAAGTCCAGGCAGTGGGTTTATGTCATTTGGTTGGCAAAATGTTATGCTTGGCCACTAAAATGTTTTAGCGACTACATATTTTAGTCGTTGAAAGAGAATTTCATTTTTGTTTAATGACTTTTGGCGACTAAATATTTGGTCGCCGTAAAGTTAGTTTTGGCGACTAAAATGTTTTAGCGATTAAATATTTTAGTCGCTAAAAGAGAATTTCATTTTGATTTAATTACTTTTGGCGACTAAATATTTGGTCGCCAAAATGTTATGTTTGGCGACTAAGTCTGTTTTAGTAGCCAAATATAAGATAATTAGCGACCAATGTTATATTAGTCGCCGTTGACTATTGCTGACTAGGCTTTGGCGACCAACGAGGCGACGAATAAATTTAGTCGCCATTGACTTTTGCTGACTAAAAAACAACCTTTGGCGACTAAAAATTTGGTCGCCAAAAGTGTAATTTCTTGTAGTGAATAATTTTGCCTTAGTTTTTTCTCTCAATTTTTTTTTTCAATAATTTGTGTTTTGTTATCAAATAATTAATGGATTGTGATTTGTGTGGATTATGATTGTGTTATCAGATATCATATTACAATAAAATAATCGTTTCATTATCAGATATTAGTGAATTATGTTGTTTGTGTTGAGTATTGCTAAACTATAAAACAACAAGACCTTATTTTATCTTTTTTTAAGTCTTTGTAATGATTTTTTTTATATCTTAATATATGAAAATAAATTGTAATGATTATATGTATAAGGAAACTTTTTGTAACTACTAAATAATAAAAAAATTATTGATAACTTTTTACTTTATGCGTAATTTTTTTTATAAAAATAATACATGTAGAAAGACCCTATTTTCAAAGTCCCCTAATGAGTTCTTAGTGAAGGAAGATGAACCCTACGAATTTCTTGAGGTTCTAAAACTAGTTGAGGAAATGCATTAGAATGAGAGGCCAATTATTTAATTTCTAATCTTTTCTTTTCTTTTCTTTTTTTTTTAATGGGTAAGAATCAAGCATGTAACATGATGCATCAGACTTTTTTTTGGGATTAGCAAAAAAACTTTATTAATGACCACAAAGTAAAACAAGGTGATACATCAATAAAGAGAGGAAACAGTGCTCAAGCATCATAACCAATGTGAAAATCCCAGTAAGCTTGGCACTCACATACGGGCATAAACAAATGCTAGCACAAAACCTCGGTTGATAAGTAACCAACCGAAATAGCAGTACACTACTCAGCAATAGCACAAACAAGACTACACACAGCAGCAACAGGACTGACAGCAAAACCAGCTCATACTGCCCAGCAAAAGGCCACAACAGTGCCACAGCAGAACTAGATTCATGCACCCTTCACCTCAAACAATGTCTAATCTGTTGAAAATTTTGAACAAAATCATGCAGAGTGTAATTCACACCTGATAACCTACTCTTAGCCTAAAACGCTATCGTTGTCTTCACTATATCCTCCAAATTAGCAAAATTAAGATAAGCATCATTAAACAATACATCATTCCTCAACCTCGAAATCGACCACAATAAGACTAAAAGCACAATTTTCCACACCTTCACCTCTTTTTTCTTAATCGAAGCCCCTGCCCACCAATGCAACAAAGCCTTAATAGACCCTGGGATTACCCACCACATATCCCACCATCTTATAATTCGAGACCTGACTCTCCAAATCAATGGGCAGTGCAAACAAACATGATTTACACTCTCATATTCCTTTTGACAGAATACACGCTGTGTGCTAGCATTTGCACCCAACACCCCCATTTTCTGCAGGAATTCTGATGTTTTCACCCTTCCCTTCAACGCTAACCAGCCAAAAAATTGGATTTTGGGAGGGGCTACATTTTGCCACAGCTCAGTTGTTACATGCAGCTTTGGTCCCTTATCAACTTGCAACCATTTCCAAATTGATGCCACTAAAAACTAATCTGATGGATCAATCTCCCACCTCAAACAATCATCCATAGTCCCCTTGTTTATAGGAACTGCACTCAGCCACTCACATAGCCTGTTAACCTCCACTTCTTCCCATGCTCGCAGCCCTCTTCTAAATGCCAGGTTCCATTCCCCCGTCCTTTCCTTCCCCTACTCAAAGTGTATTGCGTCAAAGAGCCTTTCTTTACGACAGATAGACTAAACAATCTTGAAAACTTCTCACTGAGCCTACAACTATTCCATCAAATATCAGTCTAGAAATGAACTCTTGCTCCATTCCCAACCCTTATCTTTGCGTTTTCCAAATAAAAATCAAGCACATGAGGATAATCCTTTGCAATACTTAGAATACCTTTCCAAATTGGAGACAAATTACCTGTTTCACCAACATCAGGCCACCACCCACCACCATATTGCCCATATTTACTATAGATCATAGCCCTCCACAAGGCTTTGTCTTCAACACCATATCGCCACCACCATTTTAGTAATAAACAAACATTCATTTCACTTAGACTTCTGAGCCCTAACCCACCTTGCTTTTTAGGCTTAATAAGCTCCTGCCATCTCACCAAATGCACTTTCCTCTTAACCTCACTGCTTCCCCAGAGAAACATAGCCTGTAGCTTATCAATTGTCTTCGCTACACCCTTAGGCATCTTAAATATAGAAATATAATACGATGGTAAACAAGCTACTACTAACTTAATCAAAGTCAGTCGACATGCAAAAGATAACACCTTCCTCTTCCAAAGAGACAGCCTCTTCCTAACTTTCTCAACCACGGGCTGCCATATGGACTTCCTCCTAGGATTGGCTCCTAAAGATAAGCCCAAATACAGAATAGGTAGCTTCTTACTTTGACAATTTAACTCCCTTGCAAAATTCTTCACCTCAGAATCAGAAATGCACACACCACGCACTACACTTTTGTGAAAGTTTATCTTTAAGCCAAACATCACTTTAAAGCACCTTAATATCTTTTTAATCAATAGCAGCTCCTTCAGATCTGCCTCGCAGAAAATTATAGTATCGTCTGCAAACTGTAAATGTGAGATGCTCATACCATTAGACCCAACCAAAGCTCCTTTAACCAACCCCAACATCTTAGCTCTATTTAGAAGCAAATTTAACCCCTCAGCCACCAAATTAAATAGGAAATGTGAGAGCGGGTCATCTTGTCTTAACCCTCTTTGCAGTGAAAACTCTTCAGTGGGTGACCCATTCACCAAAATTGATATTCTAGATGAGGATAGACATTCCTTAATCCACCCTAACCTCCCACATAGAACTTTAGCTAGAATTTTGTAGATTGAACCCACCAAACTAATTGGCCTGTAATCCACCAAATCTACTGGACTGTCCTTCTTAGGAATCAATATTATAAATAAACTGTTAAGCCCTTTGGCCAACTTACCATTACTATGGATTATTACCAAATGTGGATTATTTAGTGATGACGGCATAGACATCTTTATGTCCATTTTAATCATTTGATGTAAAACTTGGGAGATTGTGCATGACCAAGAAGTTATATCTTCGTGGTTGTTCTGTTTTCTGGAGTGGGGATTAATCAATTCAAGTTGACTGTTGACTGGAAACAGGCATTATAGATTCATCAAGCGAATTGATGTTATAATGCTTAGATCCATTTTCCTCAAGGCTATGTACCTTGACATGCTGGGTAGGGATGGCAGTAGGGTGGATATTAATTTCTCATTTTTATTCTTCTATTATAATTTTTTCCTATTTTCCATCTCCAATCCCTTATGGGGACTACCTTATCCATCCTTTATGGGTTTGAGTTTTTCCAATCCAGATATATATATATATATATTAAGTAGTTGTTGCTAATATAAATAGATTAACTGAAATATAACTAGATTATTTTTTCTAAATTTTTTACAACCACCAGAAACAATTAACAATATAAACAATAAACAGATTATCCTGCTTTTTGGCATTTCGGAGTTCAAAAAAATAAATAAATAAATAAACAGATTATTTCATCACCACCACCGCATCTCTTTCTTTCACTATTATTCTCTCTCTCTCTACAAACTTTCTCTTTCTAAAGCTTTAGTCTTGTCTAGTCATGGCGGAAGAGGGTTTTGAACCTTACCATGTCCCACAACAAAATAGAAGAGACAAGCTCAAAATGCTAGCCCAAAACAACCTCCAAGGGTGCGCAGGTTTACTCCCTCTCTATGATCCCTCCCTCATTTCCTCTGATCTTGGCCTCAGCCTTCTCTTCCTCTTCTAACAACACCGCCGCCGCGTCGACGGTCGTTGATACTCTCACCAGCGGCGGAAACGATATTCTCCGAGAAGCGGTGTCGACGGCGAGGGGTGATTGAGGGATGAGGAGGAGGAGAAGAATGCTGGAGATGGACATGTCATCGTTGTTCTAATTTTTTTTGTTTTTTTTTGTTTTTTTCTGGTTTTTTTTTGGGTTTGTAAGTAAATTTTGAAGCTGGATCTATAAGTAAAAATTGTACAAGTATGTATTTATGTGATGAATAAGTGTATAATATTTTAGTTTGTGATTTTTGTTTGGCGAAATATGATCC